CGCCCAGCCACAGACTCCATTCCCGCCTGGGCACTGGTTTGCTCATAGTCAGCATAACAGCCAGGAAGAAGCTAGGATCCTGAGCTAGCAGGGGAAGGTGTGGAGGGGACCCTTCTGGGCTCCACCGTGCCCAGCCAACATGGGGGACAAACAGGAAAGAGGGAAGGGGACTGGCCAAGAGGGGGAGGGGCTGGCGAGACTTGGGGCCCTGCCCAGCTCCAAGCAGGTGGCTGTCGCAGGCCTGCCAGAAGTTCCATCAGGCATCACTCAGCAGGTGCTCCTGGGAGCTCAGGTTCCATCTTTCCAGGAGGCCCCAGGGATGCCTTTCCTACAGAGGCTGACTGGAAACCGAGCCTGGCCTTCTGTCTCAGGAGGAGGTGTGAGCAGAACCTCGCCTGACCGGCCTCCTGAGCTCCTTGGACAGGAGCCAGCCCTCACCCCCAGGACAGAGTCAGGGCAGAGCCAAGCTGCGCAAGGATCATTTGGAAATTCATCAAGAGGAAAACAGTCCCCGGTCCCGGGACAGGCACCACTGCCGTTTGGGTCGAGTTCCCTCCTTGTCCGTCTGAGCCGTGGAGATTGGTGCCCAGGGCACAGTGTGTTAAAGGTGAACGCTCGCTTTCCTCCGCCCGTCCGGCTGTGTGTCCTGAGAGCCACCGTGGTCGGCTACCTACAGTGGCTCAGCCGCCTACAGTGGCTTGCCCGCCCAGTCATCCCCAGCCTGCAGACACGGTGCCTGGTCCGGCCCCTGGCTGTGTTGGCTCTGAGAGCTCTCCGGCTGTTAGACTTCCAGCCCTTTTCTCAGAGCACACACATCCCCTGCCCTTGGTCTCGGCCACTGGCTGGAGACCTTCCGTGCGCACGGTCCGAATGCCGAGAGCTGCGTCAATGCCAAGAGTGCTGGGAGCAGGGGGGTGAACAAAGCGGCCATGTCCTGGAGATCAGGTTTCGCCTGAGCTCTGGGACACTTAGCTGGCAAGCACGGCATGTGAGGAGCGAGGTGCACCCGTAACCTGGGCCACACCTGGCCCGGTGCATCCCTGGACTCAGCCCAGCTGCGTGGCCCAGGAGCAGCTCCACGCTCCCTGCCTGTGGTTCTCTCTGCTTGTACCCAGCGTTTGCCCTCTCCTGGCCCCTGCCCGGTTCTCCAGGGGAGCGTCCTTGGAGGGAGCAAGCCCCACAGCGGGAGCCTTTGTCCACCCTTGTGTGAGAAGCAGGCAGGTACAGTACGGGTGTAGGTGTGAGCTCGAGCAGCCTGGACGGGCACGTGGCGCTCATTAATGTCCCTGCTGACAGAAGCGTGCAGAGGCAGTGGCCTGCCAGGGTGGAGCCTCAGCCCTGACCACCTGCTCCGGGTCCCAGCCCTTAGCCCTGTTGCAGTGGGGGTTAAACTCCTGCACGAGTTCTCCGGGAACCTGGCGTCCACTCCGCAGCAGCTCTAAGCCTGGCGTTTCCCGGCTCACTTTTCCCCGAGCCAGTTCAGCCAGCTCCTTCACCGAGGCCTTCTCTCTAACCTCCCAACCCGGCTCCGTCAAGTGTACCTGCCGTGTCCAGGTTTTGCCTACGGAGACATCCCTTCTGTCCCCAGGAAGCTCAGAGTCTTCTGCGAGGGAGAAGACAGCGCCCAAGGCACTGTGGCACTAGGGGAAAGTTGTGAGCTGGGAGAGACTCTTGTGGGTAGGGCTGTGGGAGGGGCGGGAGGACGCGGGAAAGGTGAACCAGGACTTGGGCCGAGAAGTCTTGGCAGGAGAAGGTGGCGCAGGTGCACTCAGAGGCCATGAAAATGCGTGGAGGGGGGAGCGCAGTGTGGGGTGGGGCTCAGTGGGCAGCTCCAGAGGACGATTGTGAGGTTACATCCAGGCGAAGCCGCCACAGGATGGGGTGGGTCCAAGCCTCTGGGGGGAGACTTGCATTTTGTTCACCTGGGCTTGGACTTAACTGCAGAGATCACTTGGGCTACAGTGTCAACATAGAGGACAAGGAGGGGAGAGAGGGCCGGTGAGAGTCCTCTTGGTAGACAGGTCCGGGAGGGAGATGCTGAGTCAGGCAGGTGTGGACAGAGAGGTTGGGGGCGTCTGCAGGGGGGCAGAGAAGGAGCAGTGGGGCCCCATCTTGCCCCTCCCCCTGGAGCCTGCGGGATCCAAGGACAGCTCAGAGGAAGGAGCTGGCTTTGCCTGCACTCCACCTTGGCTCCTGCGCATGTCACAGGGGTCATCTATGGAAGCTCGGGGCTGATGGGAGTCTGCCTTTGTGCAGAGGCCCCCCCCTTGGGAGAGAGCACCTGCAAACAGACCAGGCAACCAGCCTGACCCTCAGCCCTGACTCTGCCATGGGAGAGCTGGGGAGAGGGGACTCTCGGTGCAGATGCCCCAGGTTTCACTGGGCAGACCCCGCCCCTCGCCAGCCTTAACTCCCTCCCCTGACATGCAGAGATTCTGCTATATAACCTTAGGGACCTTGTAGCTCCAACAGCCTAACCCAGCGTTTTCTCTCTTTAGAAAGACAGGACAGGTGTGGGGCACAGTGGTGCAACCTGCTTGGGACGCCGGCACCCATAGTGGAGTCCCAGCTCCACTCCCAGTGCCAGCTCCTGCTGAGGCTCACCCTGGGAAGCAGTAGGTGACGGATGGCTCAAGTAGTCGGGTCCCTGCCGTCGACGTGGGGGGCCCAGGTGGCGTTCTCAGGTCCTGGCTTCAGCCTGGCCCAGGCCCAGCTGTTGCCAGCATTTAGGAAGTAAACCAGTTGATGGGAGCTCTCTCTCCCTCTGTCTCTCTGCCTTTAAAATAAAAGAGATAGAAATTTTGAAAATTAGGGGAACAAAAGGGCTTATACAATCAAGTGTTATCTTTTCCTGCTCTATAAGTGTTAAATCTGCAACTATTTTTGAGATCCTCATGAGTCTTTTTTTTTTTAAGATTTATTTACTTGAAAGTCAGAGTTAGGGAGAGACAGAGAGAGATCTTCCATATGTTGGTTCACTCCCCAAATGGCCATAATGGCCAGGACTGGGCCAGGCTAAAGCCAAGAGCCAGGAGCTTCGTCCAGGTCTCCCATGTGGGTGGCAGGGGTCTAAACACTTGGGTCATCTTCTGGTGCTTTTCCCAGGCCATTAGCAGGGAGCTGGGTTGGAAATAGAGCAGCCAGGACACAAACTGGTGCCTATATGGGATGCCAGCATCGCAGGCGTCAGCTTTACCCACTACCTCACAGTGCCAGTCCCTCCTCCTGTTTCCTTAGGCACAGAGGAGCAGGCATGCCCACAGTGGGCCCCTGTATGGGTACCTGGCTGTCCTGGGCAGAGGGTGAGAGGCAAGGCCAGGTCAGTGGGAGTACAGGCACATTGCAGCCACCAGTGGAGCCCTAGCATTCGGAGGCTCCCCTGCAGGGGTGGAGCTAGACAGGGAAGGGGACCCAGACTCAGGAGTGGGCTCAGCAGCTGAGACGAGTTCTAGAACAAGGCAGGAGTCCCGTTGTCCGAGCTACAGCCCAAGCCTAGGCCAAGCTGGCAGCCAGCAGCTCAGACATGAGTCCTAGACCGGGCGCTGAGGGGTCAGGAACCCTCCTGCCTCAGCGGTGAGAGGGGCAGGGCAGGGGGGCGGTGAGGTCCTCAGCTTCCAGCCGGTCTCAGTCTGACACCACAGTGATGAGACTGAAGAAGGTGGCACTTGGCAGATGGTCTGCGTCTCACACTGCCATTTGCTGCCCGTGAAACCGTGAGCAGTGGGGCAGCAGTGTCCCGTACTAGAGTGCCTGTTTCAGTCCCAGCTGCTCCGCTTCCGATCCAGCTCCCTGCTGTGCTCCAGGAGGAAAGCAGAGGACGGCCCAAGCTCTGGGGTCCCTGCCATCCGTGTGGGAGACCCGGATGGAGTTCCAGGTTCCTGGCTTTGGTCTGGCCCTACTCCAGCTGTTGCAGCCATTTGGGGAGTGAACCAGGAGATGGAAGATCTCTCTGTGTGTCTCTCCCTCTTTCTGTCTCTCTGCCTTTCAAACAAACAAATAAATCTTAGAGGGGAAAAAAGACATTGAGCAAGTCACGTAACCTTCAGGGCCTGGTTCCTCAGCTGTTCCAAGTGCTCATGGGAACAGCCTTAGGGCTGTGGGAGTTGGAATTCAGTTTCAGTAAAGAGTCTACACCGCAGTCTGCCGCTGGGCTCCCAGAGTGGTTGCTTCTGTTTCCGAGAACACGGAGGGGAGGGAGGAGGGAAATGAGTCCCTGCGCCAGTGTCCATGTGTTGTGGCCTGAGCGTGCTGCCTCCCTTGGGGACAGAGCCACTGCCCTGCCCGCCTGGGATCTCTCTACCCCCAGGCACCGTGCACCTGCACGGCCCCTGGGTGATGGCGGAGCTGCAAAGAGAAGGAACAATCAGGCATCTTCTGAGGTCAGCGCAAGAGCGTGGGTGTTTTGAGTGGGGGGCGGCAACCAGGAGCCTGGCAGGCCCCCAGCACCAGCCCCACCTGTACGTGAGGTCTGCCCAGCACACAGGCTGCACCAGGGGCCTGCCTCAAGGCCCATGACGGGATGGGCCCAGAAGGCTCCATGTCAGGCAGAACAAAGACTCCCATGGCAGGATGCAGCTGCGCCCCACCCACAGCCCCCAGACTCCTCAGCAGGCAGCAGCAGGCGTCAGCTCAGACAGACCAGGCTCTAAACTTTGGCTCTGGCCCTGAGGGCGGAGTCAAATAGGTCACTGGGGCCCACAATTCCAGCTGAGTGGTGTGCGAATGCTTGGTGGCTAATACGGTAGCAGACCCCGTGAGTGCCCCGAGGGGGAAGGGGAGGGGGCCACAGCGGCAGGAGCCCAGGAACCCCACGAGCTCAGGGAAGGGCCAAGAGAAAGGGAGAGCTGCGTGACTGGGGGCCCCAGCTGGTGTGGCCATTGCCCAGGGGTGACTTCTGGAAGAAGCCCTGAAGGCTGAGGTGGGCGTGGCTTCAGCGCTGTCTGTCACAGCCTTCCTTCCTGCCACTAACCACTCCGCTGTTGTGCTTCTCTGCCCTACAGGCCCCTCCACCCAGCGTCAGGTGCAGAATGGCCCCTCTCCTGATGAGATGGACGTCCAGAGAAGGTAACCCCACCCGTAGTAGCCGCCAGGGGCAGGGAGAGCAGGCCAGACCAGAGAGGACGGGGCGACCCCCGTGGGGTCTCCAGCAGTGAGGATGAGTCTGCGGTGTCAGCCAGCATAGCTGACCGCCAGCACGTGCTCTCGGGAGGAGCCTGCATGTCCCGAGTGCTGTCAGTCATTCCAGGAAGCCCTGCGTGGAGAGGTGAAGCCTGGGGCCAAGGCAGCTCCCTTGGGACGTGGCTCGACGGCCACAGGAAGTGCCGTACCCTGAGATCACAGCAGAGGTCATGAGAGCTCCCCGTGGAGCGGCCTTCCCAAGGCCACGTCAGGACCTGGATGGACCCTGGTCCGCCAGCTCCAGCCCTGCCTCTGGCCTGGCCTCTCCCCAGTGCTGGGAGTGAAAGCGGGGAGGGGTGGGGGGCGGCTGAGTGTCTCTGAAGCCCTCTGCGTCAGCCCTGGTCTCGGGCCTTGCGCTTTGTCGCACGCGGGCGGGTTTCTGCCCCGGCCCTCAGTTGGCCCGTCTGAAGGTGGGCAGCCTCACTCTGCCCGCGTGAGGCTTGTGCCGTTAGGGGTGGGAGTCTGCTTCTGTGGGGCTGGCTTCCCGCTGCTCAGGACAGCAGCCCTGCACGGTACAGGGGCCTGCTCAGCCGGCAGGCCCTGTCGCATTTAACCTCACACTGACTATCTGCAGCTGACGTAACAGTCACTGCCTCCCATGTGAGCCATGGAAGCTCGACCACACAGGAAGGAGCTAGGGCAGGACTCGTTAACACGTCTCACGGCAGCCATGCAGTGCAGCCTCAGGACGGCCTTCACCCAGAGGAGGGCGGGAGGGAGCGGCCCCCAGCAGGCAGGCACCCACAGAGCCGCGTCATCTTCACCCGAGGCCCAGGGCCCAGGCCTGCAGGTTGCTGGCTGCACCGAGGGCACCTGTCAGCACGCCCCCTGCTGGCCAGGCTGTGAGCTGCGGGAGTCAGACCTTGCATATCCCACTTCCGGTCTTTCCCTGGGCAGCAGGGCTTACTCGGGACCCCAGTGAGGCAGTGAGTCCAAGCCCGGGAACCTTCCTGTTTTCACACAAGCAGTCTCATAGTTCAGGCCTTATTTTTAAATGGTTTTCAAGCATCTTTGTTTTACTGTGATTTTCTAAGTTGACAGACCCTTCTCCCACAGGGGATGCCGGGGTTTTGGGAAGTGCTCCCGTCTCAGGCGGCTGGGAGGGGTGGAGAAGCAAATGCAGATGCCACGCTGTTGCTCGGGGCCAGGCTTCCTCCTTATGGGAACCCCTGGCATTCTCAGTCGGACCCGAGGCCCAGGATCACAGGACGGGAACCGGAAGGCTCCCTGTGCAGATGAGACACGCAGAGCTGTCTCCACACAGCACCCACCGCGTGCCTGCCTGGCCACCTCCCCACCCGTGTGGCAGGCCTCAGCGCCCCCTCAGCCCTGAGCTTCAGTCACAGGCAATCCTGGTTGCCCCACCCCAGCTGAAACCAGCCCGTGGCCTTGGTCTGAGTGGGCTGCGAGACCCCTCCTACCCACTCCCGCGGTCACTGGGCTCTGCACGTGGATTTGTGGGTCAGTGTCCTCACTCTGCCTGCCCCGGCCACTCAGCCACAAGGAGCCAGGATGTTCCCTCCGAGGGTGGGGTGGCTGCCCCGCAGCAGACGGGGCCTGCGCTGGACTGTGCTGGAGAGGACGTGGCGTGGTCCTCCGGGTGCGTTTCTCCTGAGCACCACCCCTGGGAGCTTAGCCAGGTGCACTAAGCACAGGTGTTCCTGAGGCCAGGCCAGGAAAGGTGAGCCCGGGCAGCCCAGGGAAAGCTCTAGGGAGTGAATCAGATCGGCGGTGGCCTCCCCGTCCACTGTGCCTGAGACGGGACTGCTGGCGTGCCCCTGTTCAGGAACTTGACCCCCACACCCCCTCCCGTTACATGGAGGCAGTGTGGCGCACCGCAGCTCCCAGGGAGTGCCACGGAACCCAGCTCCGCGGGCTGGGCCCTCGCACACAGAGCGAGGTGTCCCGGCTGCTGAGCAGGCCGCGCTGTCCTCTCGCCTTTCAGACAAGTAATGGAGCAGCAGCACCAGCACCGCCAGGAGTCCCTGGAGAGAAGAGCCTCTGCCACAGGTGAGCGCCCCGCCCGCCCGCCGGGCCCCGCGCAAGCCCGGCAGCTCGCAGGGCCTTCAGGCGGAACAGGGGGACGACTGGCCCGACCACGCCTGCCTCCAACCTGCTGGCCTGCCAGGCCTGCGTCCCAAGTGGACGTCCAGTGAGCACTGCTGCACTGGTGGGGCTGGGGACACGGCCACAGCCACAGACAGGACACACTCGCTGCCCGTTGTCCGATCCAGGGGACAAAGGAGCCAACAGGGGCTGCCGCCTAGTGCACCCTGTGGCCCCGTTCAGGGCAGGGTGCCACCAGCACACAGAGGAGGCCCCTCCCCCGGGACCAGAGGTGACTTCCTGGGGAGAGGCCCCCCCCAGCAGCAGCCCTGAGCCTGAGCAGAGCTTAGCGTGGAGAAGGAGGCCAGGATGTTCTCTAGAGAGCGGTGCCGGTCCCGGGCAGGCCCAGGCCTCACCAGGTGCGCTCCTGGGCATTGTGTTGTGTAAGTCTCTCCACTGCCCTGGGCAGTGAGCAGGTGGTCACTGTCCTGGCCCCGTCGCTGCCCCCGGGTCTGCTCTGCTTTCCAGTACAGGCCGATCCTCTGTCGGCCAGCCCCTCCCCTCTGCTCCAGGCCGCCGGGCTTCTCGCCGCCACCGCGCAGGCCTCTGCTTTCCGCTGCTCTCGGCACCCTCTTCCCCTCCACCTGACTCCTGCCCTCCTGGCAGGTACCAGCCCCGCCGTCACTCCCATCGGGAAGTTTCCAGGAGCTGCTGGCCAGCACGGCAATCGCATGCTTGCTGTCCCTAGCATGTCCCTTGCCACAGTCCCGTTCTGCCTCCACCAGGGTGCTCGGCTGTGTCCTCTCTGTGCAATGAGCCCCCGAGGGCAGGGCCTGTGGTCGCTTTCCCCAGCACACTCCCGGCACCCAGCGGAGGCTCAGGCAGCGCTGGCTGGGAGGGCGGCTTCCAGGACAGACTGCTCCCTGCCCTGGGATCCACAGTGGCCTGCCACAGTCCCCAGAGGCCAAGGGTCAGTCACGATTACGCCTCAGAGACCAATTCTGCCAGTGCCCGGGCGGCGCCAGGTACTTAGAAGGAACAAAGAAGAGGAAGGGCACAGATTCTGCCGCCAGAGCTTCGGCTCCCACTGGGCAGACGTGGCTGGAGCGGGAGAAGGTGGCTGGGCTCAGGGCATGGGAAGCAAAGGCGTGACGCTGTGGGTCCAGCCAAGGGGGCCCAGTTCACCCTGCAGCGGCTTCCCAGAAGAGCAAACCCATGTTTGAAGGGAGGGCCGCCTGTGTCTGCCCTCCCCCGGAGTGGAAGTGAGAGCCACAGGCCTGGGCCCCAACGGGGGGCTGAAGACCCACGATGCCCCCCTATTCTGTTCCAGGGCCCCTCCTCCCACCGGGGCACCCCTCATCTGCAGCCAGCGCCCCACTCTCCTGCAGCGGGCCTCCGCCCCCGCCCCCACCCCCTGTGCCGCCTCCCCCCACCGGGGCCACCCCACCGCCCCCACCCCCACTGCCAGCCGGAGGAGCCCAGGGGGCCAGCCACGACGAGAGCTCCGTGTCAGGACTGGCCGCCGCGCTGGCTGGGGCCAAGCTGAGGAGAGTGCAGCGGGTGAGAGCCCGGGCAGGGGCGGAGTGGGCGTGGCCGTTATGAACTGCAGGGCCTGTGGGTTTCTCTGCCATTGCTCTGTCCCCTGTAGCAACTTGGCCCTCGGAAGTCAGGTCCGTCAGCACCGGGTCAGTTCTCCCCAGCCCTCCGGGCATGTCCCGGAATGTGACCTCATGTGGGAGGGACGCCTCTGCTGCCGCTCTCCTAGCCGGCTGCCTGAGTCCCCCGGGCCGGCCCTGCAGGGTGGGGGAATGCCGCACAAGACGGCCCCTGAGGTCTCCTGTGGCGGGGCCATCATGGAACTCACAGGCACGACACGCGGGCCCCTGGGTCCCGGCACCAGCACCACCACTAACACGGCACCTTCCCCCCAGCCAGAAGATGCGTCTGGAGGCTCCAGTCCCAGTGGAACCTCCAAGTCCGACGCCAACCGGGCGAGCAGCGGGGGCGGGGGAGGAGGCCTCATGGAGGAGATGAACAAGCTGCTGGCCAAGAGGTGGGTCCTGCGCCTGGGCTGCGGGCTCCCACGGGCCCAGAAGCCTTTGTCACCTGGGTTCAGCCAGGTGACCTCAACATTCCCTCCTGCCGGTATCAGTCCGAGGCATCACGGCCTCCACCCTAGATCCCTCCTGGGTTTGTCGAGCGAGTGTTGAAAGTTTCTGCAGGCAGTGCCCTGTCCTGAAGGAGGCACTTGGAGATGAGTCCAAGATAAACGCAGAGGCTGAGGCACAGGGCCTGCACCGGGAGCCCTGGGGCCCCACCGCGGGTGTGGCGCGGGCGGGGATGACAGCACAGGGGCCCTGAGAGCTGCAGGCCGTCCCCTCCTGTCCTGTGGGGCCTTTCTCCAGCCGCACCAGCAGGTGGTCCCCGCCTGCCACAGAAACCAGGACCGGTGCAGAGATGGGCCCGCTGTTTTTTTGGAAGGGATGCGTGGATTTCAGTTTCAGATGTGGCCCGTGCTGACGTCCAGTGGCCACTGCTGCGGCCGACTGGCCCCGAGAGGGTCGCGAGCACAGCAGGCCCTCAGAGGCCAGGAGGGCTTCACAGCGGATGTGCACGCTTTTCTGGGCCGAGACGGGAGAGTGTCCTGCACAGGAAGAGCAGCAAGGGTGCAGTGGGCAGGGCTAAGCCGCGGAGAAACCTGCGAACTCCACTGTGCCTGAGAACTGGCATGGAAGGGCCCGGAGGCGGGGAGAGCTGAGGGCATCGGCTCATCGCCGCGCCCAGAGAGGCGCACCGGACTCGCAAAAGTGGAAACGATTTCTGGGAGAAATAAAAATATTAACTCTGTCCCCAAGTTCAAAACCAGTGACAGTTTGGCCTGGATGGTGTAGCCCAAACAGAGAGGAAGCCGCCGTATGAGAACAGGAAAAGGCCGGTGTGGCCGGCAGCCAGTGAGACGCCAGAGCTGGTGGAGGGCCACACCTCCCCCCAGTGGATGCACCGCGCAGCCCTCAGCAGGCCCGGCCCGGCCCCTGGACGCGCCGCTGGAGGAGAAGGCCGGCTGGGCTGGCCGTGAGGCAGTCGGCAAGGTGCAGGTGCGGGTTCTCGCAGGCTCCGCCTCCTGCCTCGCTGGCTCACGGCTGGTCTTGCCGGCAGGGGCACCCAGGAGGAAAACTGGGTGTTGACTGATGTTGTGAGCAGGAAATGTCTGCCTCGCCGTCTTCACAGGAGTGCAGGGGGCTTGGTCCGCCTCCTATCAGAGAGTGGACGCCGACCGTCGGCAGGCGAAGGTTGCAGTGAGGCACAGGGACGGGGGCCGGGGCAGAGGCCGCTGCGGTCCAGCGAGGGTGGTGGCTGGCAGTGACGCATGGGGAAAGGCGGATCTGAGCCACAGTTCAGAGGACGAGTTCATCAGGCTTCGCCGTCATCAGGAGATCACGGGCAGTTCCTGTGCACGGAGCCCGTCCTGGGACGAGATGGCGGAGGGGCGTGTGCGCCCGTCTCCGGCCAGGGGCAGCCGGGCGCAGCCGGACGCAGCCTCTCACCGGGTGCCAGCCGGCGCGTTCTCAGTGACGGCGCAGAGCTGTGGGAGCTGGGTGCCATGACCTGCCACAAGAGCTGAAGCTCCGGGGACGTGTCAAGGGGTCGGGGGCCCCTGTGTGTGTAGCTCTCGGAGCTGGCCAGGTAGAGCCGAGCCTGAGGCCAGGAGGCATGAGGGAGTCAGACGGGAAGGGGCTTCTTCCCTCGGAGAACGTGGGTGATGACCTGCCCAGGGCCCAGCTGGAGTTCTTCGAGCAGTTCCAGGCTCAGCTGCCTTCCTGTTTGGGGGTGGGGGTGGGGGTGGGGCGTGGCTAGGATCTCTGACTCCAGGGTCTGGGTGCCCCTGCCAGCTGCCTGAGGTGGCGGCTCCCACGGCCCTGACTGTGGCACACTCTGCTGCAGCCCACTTCCCTGTCCCCCGTGCCAGGCCTGGAGCGTCCTGGAGCGTAGCTGCCGTCCAGCCAAACCCAGAACCCCCGGCACTGTCTTCGCCAATGCCCCCCAAGTCGGGCGAGACACGAGCATCCAGACCCCTCTTCCAGCCCACGCCAGACCGAGGCCTGGACAGTGGGGCTGGCACAGAGGCGGAGAAGGTGACGCGTTTCGTCTTCCTTCCCTGTGTAGGAGAAAAGCAGCCTCGCAGACAGACAGGCCTGTGGACAGAAAGGAGGACGAAAGCCAAACGGTAGGCAGCACCCCGCCACCCCCACCGCCCGCTCCCCCAGCGCCTCGACCAGAGGGCTCTTGGCCAGGTCGGGGCCCGGGGTGGGGGACCGTGCGGACACACCCTGGGGAGGGGCTCCATTGGGACTCACAGGCAGAGCAGAAGGGCCTCTGTGGCCTCCATCCCGGGGCTCCCACTCACCCAGCCCTGCCTCCATCACACCCTGCGCCAGCCTCGGAGCGCGGCCTGGGGAGACGCAAGCCCAGAGGCCGGAGCGCCGCACAGCACTGTGAGGGGAGGCCTGGGCCCTGGCGCCACTCAGCCTGCTCTGGGGGTCGTGTGCACCTGCCCGAGGGAGTCATTTCTGCCTCCCAGAGCTGCAGGGGAGCCCAGAGCCCAGCTCTCATCCTGCAGCCGAGCCCGGCTCACGGAGCCCAGGGCCACCCCACGGCAGCTGGCGGGTTCTCTTCCTGTACGTGAAGCTTCTCCCGTGGACAGAGTCCCACGGCACTGCCAGGTCTGGGCCCAGTACAGACGGCATCAGTGGCAGAACGAGAGAAGAGGCCGGCGCCGCGGCTCACTAGGCTAATCCTCCGCCTAGCAGCGCCGGCACACCGGGTTCTAGTCCCGGTCGGGGCGCCGGATTCTGTCCCGGTTGCCCCTCTTCCAGGCCAGCTCTCTGCTGTGGCCCGGGAGTGCAGTGGAGGATGGCCCAAGTGCATGGGCCCTGCACCCCATGGGAGACCAGGAGAAGCACCTGGCTCCTGCCATCGGATCAGTGCCATTGGAGGGTGAACCAACGGCAAAGGAAGACCTTTCTCTCTGTCTCTCTCTCTCACTGTCCACTCTGCCTGTCAAAAATAAAAATAATAAAAAAAAAAAAAAAAAAAAAGGAGAGAAGGAACCCAGCAGCCAGCGGTCAGGGACCAGGGCGCTTCCTGCCTCCGCTTCCCCCTCAGCTGAGGAGGTGCCGGGGTTTCCCGGGCTCCAGCCCACCCCGCTGTTGCTCCATACACCCCGCCCGGGTGACTGGGCCCCAGCCTCAGTGTGCCCCTTCCCCGCCTCGCCCCCACGTCTCCCACACACCTGGCTCCTGGAGCGGGGCCCTGCCCTTCTCGCAGGCGTGCCTGTTCGTGCACACGCTCTCACGCTCTCTCCTGCTGGGTCGTGGGCCAGGGCAGGGCCCCAGACCTCACACACACGTGCGCTTCTGTGGACAGCTGCCAGGGCCTTCCCAGCCCCTGCACTCCAGGAGTGGACCTCTGCAAGAGGGAGCCAATCCAGGACCTTCAGCCCGAGGGCGGAGCGCGCTCCCTCTGTCCTTTGTTAGGAGTGCACCTGTTTGCCTGGGGACCGGCTGCACCGGGCTGCACCGGAGCTGCACCAGGCAGCGCGGGCGCTTTCCTTTCCTTTCAATGCCTTTCCACTCTTCAGCGAGCACAACTGGGCTGACAGGGAGCAGGGAGCAAGCGGGCGTGATTTGAAGGAAGACAGGAGCCCCGGGTGTGGGGTCAGGTGACTCGATGGGCCCTTGGCCCCTCGCTGGCCACGGCTGGTCATGTTACCGCCCCGCACACCCCAGGCCCGACTTCTGCCGGCCCAGGCTGCCCGAGCTGCCGTGCAGGGCACTGGGGTGCGGGGTCCCTTCCCGGCCTCCCTGTCAGGCAGAGGAGATCTGTGTTTCTCTTTGTGAATGTCTGAGGTTGTCCTGGAGAAATGACACCATTGTGACATCAGAAGGAACAACCTCTGGCTTTCAGAGACTGAGCTCACTCTCAGTGGCTCTCGTTCTTACTGGTTTGCTAGGGCCCTGGCCCCACGCACGAGCATTGCTCTCCACTCTCTTCCAAAGGAGGGGGCCTGCAGACCCTCCTCCCAAGACCCTAGCGTGCTGATGGACACACCACACACATGCTTGGGTGGGGCCCGTTCCCAGCAGGGCTCCTGTGGGAGCAAGCGTGGCCTTGGCCTCCCACAGGATTGCCGTGTTAGCACTGAGCCCAGGGTCCTGGGTCTGCAGGTGGCCGCACCTGGACCACATGAGGGACAAGGGCAGTGCAGCCCACGAGTCCCCTGCGTGGTCCCTGGAGGTTGCCTGGCTCTGCATAGCAGTTATTGCTGCTACGTCATAAGTCCATTTTCTTGACCGTGAGACGTCTCCCCAGAATGTGTGCGGTGTGTGATGGCCGTAAGCGGTCCCTGCTGTTGGTTAGCATTGCTGCAGGCTCACCGCACCACAGGGCGGACGCATGACTTCCAGCCTCCGTGGCCTCGCGTGCCGTGGGGTGGGCAGCCAGAGTCCATGGGACACAGGAGCCTCTGCCCTTGGGGGAACTCACAGCGCCCTGGGGAGGCAGACAGTTGACAAAGACCATGACAAGGGCAGAGAGCAGCAGCACCAGCGCCATGCAGTCCCAGGGAGCAGCCTCTCCCACGGCCCTAAGGCCCCGTGGCCACTGGTATCTGCCAGAAGCTCTGTAGGAGGAGCTGGAGTGGGCAGGGCTGGGACAGGAGCAAGTGCAAGACCTGCTGGGCGCAGAAGGGCAGGGAGCTGGCGAGGGGCGGAGGCCCCCAGGGCCCTGCCTGTCCCCAGCAGGCCACCTCCGCAGGCAGCAGGGCCGGGAGGTCAGAGCTAGGTCTCAGGCTCCCGTTGTGGCCACAGTGCTGGTGAGCATGGAGTGAGCTGGGAGAGGCAGGCGTTTGGGACAGATGCCTTGGTGAAACAAGTAGGGGTGCACCTGAGGTCCTCCCCAAGCACGTCCCTAGGACGTCCCTGTGCCTGCTGCTGCCAGGTCTCTGCAGCCAGACCCCTGGTCCTTGAGCAACAGCCCCGCCCCTTAGCCCAGGAGTGGGCCACGCCCCAGGAGGGAGAGGCTGCCACTCAGACTTCAGTGGCCAGGACTGAAGCTGCTCCCGAGCGGCACACGTGCAGGAGTGGATCGCTCCACATGGTGCCGGCGAGAGGTCAGCAGGACACGCGTGTGAAGCATCTGGCCCCCAGGTGACCCGGCCTGGGCAGTGCAATTGAGGGTCCAGGAGGAGCCCCAGGCTGCTCTCCCCGGGGTGGCGTGGGCGCCCCGTGAAGTCACGGTTTTCCTTTTTTAATAATATTCTTTATTGACTCTACTGAGAATGTCCACTGTGAATGTTTGGGAAACTGAGGCTTCTAACTGAGCTTGCGCCCAGCGGGCTCTGGGGCAGACTAATGGGAGAGCCCGACTTTTCCTCTGCAGGAAGATCCTAACACCTCGCCTTCTCCAGGGACACGGGCAGCCAGCCAGCCTCCTAACTCAGGTAAGGGGCGCCCAGCAGAGCCCCGCCCACACGAGGCCCTGGAGTGGGAGGAAGAGGACAAGCTGGCCAGTGTGCGAGCAGAGGGAAGCCAGTTCCTGTGGGTCCCCACCAGGCACCGCCTGACCACGACGATGTCCTGTCTGAGCAAACCAGTGTTCACTTCCTGGGGACCTTGCGTCCCACCAGAGGGAGGGTACTGGCCCTGACAGCTCAGATCCAGGGGCGCGAGGCTGCGTCTAGGGCTCGGAGGAGTGTTTACATGTCAGGGTCCATGTCCCCTGCCAAATGCCAGCCAGGTGATTGGCGCTACCGATCCCACTTGCTCTGCCAGAAGCAGCCCCTCCCCTGCTCTTGTCACCCCCATGAGCTGCACCGCAGGAGACGGAATTGGGGAGGGAGAAGAGGCTTCCTGTGGGAAGACCCAGGGCTGGCTGTTCAGTCATCCGGCAAACCCTTGCTCGGCATCTGGCCTGTGCCAGGCCGGGGCGGCTCTGCCAGCTGCTCACCCCACCTGTCCCTGCGCCCGCAGTGGCTCATCCCACTCCTCCAAGAAGGCACGCCCTAGCTGTCTCCTTGTGGGACTTGCCTGGGGGCCGATTTGCCGAGAGCCACTGGTTCTTGGCCAGTGACCAGAAGCAACGTCCGTGTCTTTATTTGCACAGCAGAGCAGCCCAGAGTGGAGGCTCTGTGGTCGAGCAGGTTGCCCAGGGCCACGGACCTGGGCTGTGGTGTGGACGCAGGGCTCGGGGCTCTGGCTGCAGCTACCATTCAGGCTTCTGCCTCTGCTCACCCCGCAGTCAGTGAATTCAACAGATCTCTGGCAGCAGTGCCAGCACTGTGGCGCAGCAGGTTAAGCCATTTTTCCCCAGGCCGGCATCCCATCACAGCGCCACATCGAGTTCTGGCTCCTCCAGCTCCAATCCAGCCCCTGCTCGTGAGTCCTGGGCAGCAGCGGGAGACGGCTGGGCCCCCGCCACCCACACGGGAGAGAGACGTGGAAGGAGTTCTGGGCTCCCGGCCTCAGCCCCTCAGCCTGGCCCAGCCCCAGCTTTTGAGGGCATCTGGGTAGTGAACCAGTAGATAGAAGATCTGCGTGTGGGCATCTGTCCCTCTTTCCCTGCCACTTTCAAATAAATCCATACAACTCTAAAAAGAAAATGGAAGCTAAGCCAGCTTTGCCGCCAGGACAGGAAAGCGGAGATGCAGTGTGTGGGCAGCCTGGGGGCGTCAGGTGACAGCAGCGCGAATGGGGCTGCAGGGCCCGGCCAGCCCTGGGCAGCTGTCAGGGGAGCCCCAATTCCTGGACACACTAGTGCCCGGCACAGGGGACACAGGGGCTGCCCCGGCTGCAGCGGCCCTGAGGCCAAGGAGCCAGGTCTCGGCGGCCGCCGGGTCCCCCCGGCCCTGAGGTTCTCCATCACCCGTGATTGACAGAGCCTGGCCGGAAGCCCTGGGAGCGGAGCAACTCGGTGGAGAAGCCTGTGTCCTCCCTCCTGTCCAGGTGAGCGGCCCGGGAGGCCGAGTGGCGCGGCCCGGGGGCCTCGCAGGCGCGCCGGTTCACGTGTCTTTCGTTCCGTTGCCGTAGAAGCCCGTCCTTGGCCAAGAGCCCTGAAGCTAAGAGCCCCCTTCAGTCGCAGCCTCACTCTAGGTACCGGACACCCCTCCCGCCTCGCGCCCCCAGGTGCCGGGGCCGCCCTGTCCTCGTCCCGTGACTAACACTCCCCGCCCTGTCTGTCCTGCCGTTTAACAGCTTGCTCGGGAAGGGTGGCCTGTTCCTGCAGAGCTGGGGGGACCGGGTGGTACAGGCCGCTCCTTCCTGTCTGCCCTCTGAGGAGGCCAAGGCCAAGGCCAGGGCCAGGGAGGGTGTGACCTGGCCAAAAAGGCACGCCATGGAGCCGAGACGGAGTCCCAGCTCGGCCCTCATCACGCGTGATGCTGGGCAGGTGCTATCACCCATCCAGTGAGGTGTGTGAGTCCCTGCTGCACAGGGCAGTGGTGGGCACAAAGGCGGGACACTGGGGCCTGCGCGCATCCAGGACGGGCCCACCCCCCGCATGCACACCAGCCACAACTCCCAACCAAAGGCGCATGGGACAACCGGCCAGAACACTGGGAATAGGTTGCCCAAAAAGCCAGACAGCCCCACAATAGGCACAGGCCGACAGTGCCTCACTTGGAGGCTCCTAGAACCCACACCAGGAACCGTTGCCAGCACCACCACGACTCGGAGGAAAACCACTCACGTCACAGGGCGGGCGGCCGCGGAAGCCACGCAGACTTCATCAGTGATAGGCGGAGTAGGAACGGCCATGGGCACAGGAGGTCTGGGCCTCAGGCAGGCTCCGCCGGGGACAGCCCTGGGGAAGGCACAGAGGGTCCCACGGGGACAGGACAGGTCACTTCCAACCCAGGCCCTGACTCTACCCTGGCAAGGTCGAAGGAGGGAGGGCAGGCAGTTCAGGAGGGTGCTGGCCCCAGGGGAGCACTTCTGCCCTGGTGTGCTGGGGGGGCACCCTGGGAGGTGCCAGAGTGGCCCAGGAGCCCAGCAGGGCCGGCAGAGGTGAGGCGGCCAGGGCAGGCCTGCAGCCCTCCTGCTGGTGGGCTTAGGGTACGCAGCAAGAGGACCACTGTGCAGGCCGCTCCCGTGTGGAATGGGGTCTCTCTTGGCTCCAGGACAAATGGCCCCAAAGGGGCAGGTAGTCATGACCCCTCCTAGGGTGAGCCCTGGAGCTGGGACAATTAGCTTCCACAGCAGCTGCTGGGGTGGCCCAGGAGACCAGGGGCCTCCCACGGGACTGTGGCCTGAGAGGCCCCCGCCCAGCCTGGGCCTCCAGCCCATCCAGGTGGGGCATGGGCACGCTCCCTGTTTCCACCCTCACTCCTCTTAGCCACGGACAGCTTAGCGCTCCACGGCACCAGCTGACCCGGGGCCGGCCCTGTCACGCCAGTGTGGCCGCTAGACACCAGCCGCCACCTCCTTACTGGCTTGGGCCACTTCACACCCCTAGAACCAGGCAGGGAGAGAGCAGGCCCGAGTGCCTCAGCACCACGGTCACGCCCACCAAAAGCACGTAGTAAAACCAGGACTGCGCGTGCGGGGGCCGTAAAGCTCGAGTCCGCTCACCCCGGTTCAGAACCTCTCCGAAGGAGCCCAGTCCCGGAAGAGCACACGGATGTTCCCCGAGCACTGTGCACTGGAGCCGGCCCCGGCACGGGACACTGGCTGTGGGGGTGGCAGGGCCTCCAGGCCAGGGGCTCGCTGGGATTTTGCATGGTTTTTACACTAATGTGGCTGGTTTTCCCGGGGCATGGGGGTAGCCGGGAGCAGAGCACAACAGAGGAGCAGGCGACTGAGCCCGTGTCCCTCCGGGGGGGGGGGGGGCGCAGGGAGCTGTGACAGGCCTGACTACTGCCCCTCCACAGCCCAGCTCCTGTGCCGGACCCCAGGGCCTGACCAGACTGGGAAATGTGGGCACAGTGGCCAGGGAGGCACCCCTGGGGTGTAGCCCAGACAGGCGATCCCTTTCCAGTCGCCTAGGAGCGCCCGCAGGTAGAAAGCAAGATGCGCCTGGAAGGCCGGGGCAGGAGGTCTGTCCCCGAGTGCGGGCCTCCGGCACCCCGGTCTTCCTAACAGTCCCAGCCAGGGGCGCCCGCAGGCCCTGCCGCCCACTCTCCCGCACCTGCCCTTCCTCCCCAGGATGAAGCCCGCAGGGAGCGTGAGCGACGTGGCCCTGGATGTCTTAGATCTGGACCGGATGAAACAGGTGAGGGGCCCACCTCTGCCAGGGGCTCCGATCCTGCCGTGGCCAGGACAGAGCGTCCCCCGGCCTGCTCTGGGCCTTCCCCTAGCAGGCAGCCGGTGGGACCACTGGGGACCTGAGGGGTAGGCGCAAGTGCCCACCACCTGAGAACTTTCCCCGCGGGAGGGTCTGGACACGGCACCTGGAGCCAGACCCCCACGGCCTCAACTCTGCCTCTCACCATGGCTCTCTGCCCTTCCCCGTGTATCCGACCCCCACCCTGTGTCTCTGCTCCCCCCACATCCGTGACACTCCCCCCGTGTGTCTGCCCCCTCCACTCTTATCCCTGACCCTACCCTGTGTCCCTGCCACCCCCACATCTGCCCCCCATCTCACCCCTGACACTCACCCCGTGTGTCTGCCCCTTCCACTCTCATCCCTGACCCCCACCCTGTGTCCCTGCCACCCCCACGTCTGCCCCCCATCTCACCCCTGACACACCCCGTGTGTCTGCTCCCCCCACATCCCTGACCCCCACCCTGTGTCCCTGCCACCCCCGTCTGCCCCCCATCTCACCCCTGACACACCCCGTGTGTCTGCTCCCCCCACATCCCTGACCCCACCCTGTGTCCCTGCCACCCCCACATCTGCCCCCCATCTCACCCCTGACACTCCCCCCGTGTGTCTGCTCCCCCCACATCCCTGACCCTCACCCTGTGTCCCTGCCACCCCCCACGTCTGCCCCCCATCTCACCCCTGACACTCCCCCCGTGTGTCTGCTCCCCCCACATCCCTGACCCCACCCTGTGTCCCTGCCACCCCCACAGGAGATCCTGGAGGAGGTCGTGCGCGAGCTGCACAAGGTGAAAGAGGAGATCATTGACGGTGAGTCGCCGCATCGCCGGCCGGCGCAGGGCCGCTGAGGGAGGACAGGGCTCCCAGCACGGGCCGGGCCCGCAGCTTTAAGCCAGGCCTAGGAGAGAAGCCTGCCAGCCTCTGAGTCTGGCTGGGGAGGGTCCCTACGTGGCTCCCAGTGGTGCGAGCGAGCTCCCGTCCTCCCGTCCTGCGGCATCTCCGCTCTGTGTGTCCTGGGGAAGGCCCTCTGCTGCCTCCGGGGACGCAGGGCTCCAGGAGCCACCAACGCCCCCCACCCCAGCTGCTGCCCGGCCCGCCTGGCCCTGGGAACCCCTCCAAAAGGAGCCTGAGGCCCCAGAGGGCAGCTATGGCTCCCACCAGGGCCTCTGAGGGCGCAGGGCGAGACCTGCAGCCGGAGGAGGAGCGGAGCTTGGGGCAGAGCCCGCAGGCAAAGGAGCAGACGCAGCCTGTGCCCACCGCCGTGTGCCGCCCTCACAGGGAGTCTGGCTGGGCGGGGGGTGCCAGAGCCTCAGAGGAGCTGAGCGCTGGCTGGAGACCCAGGGGGAAGAGGGCCCACGCGGGAGCCTGCAGGCTTGGCCTCCTCGCAGCCGGGCCACCCCCTGTCCAGCAGAACACTCGGGTCCTGTTGGTGCAGGTCCCCCAGAGCCGGGCAGACCCGAGGCCCTGACTCTGCTCTAGCACTGGGCGCCCCGAGGGGGGACTCCTGACCCACAGCCGGAGCACACTCAGCCAGCCCGTGTGCCGGGGTGGAGGCTGGGCGGAGGCAGGCCGTGGTGAGAACCAGAGGCCTCGCGGGGGGCCCTGTGGCGGCTTAGGCAGTGCAGCTCAGGGCGTCACTCTCAGTACTCCAGAGGGAGGCCTGAGCTAACTTGGACCAGTGCCGGCTGGAGGGAGGACCCCAGGGGCCTGGTGAGGGTGGGGAGGAGTAGGCGGGGCTAAGAGGGAGACCGGAAGGCCTGGGGTGGGAGGGGGCAGGCGTTCCTCCCTCTCCAGCAGCCTGGAGGAGACAACAGCCAGGCTGAGGGGGAGTGTGGGGGTGGGACACACGGGAGGAGCAAGCAGGCAGGGCTGGTGCACTCAGGAGCCCAGCGGCTGGAGCCGGGTGGGCGGGGCCCCTGCGTCCCCCGGGCAGACCTGCACGCCCACCTGTCCAGACTGCATGGAGACTCTGGGGTCTTGGCGGCACAGAGCAGCTCCACGCTCCGGTTCTGAGGCCTGGCAGCTCACCAGCCGGCTCCTCCTCCCCAGGGAGCACCGGCAGGAGCAGTGACCCACCCCCAAGGTCATACCAAAGCCACCGCACCACTGGCCCCTAGCCTGTGTCCTCTGGGAGCCAGAGTGGGGCAGACGCCAGGCGGGTGCACACCAGGGTCCAGGGGCCCTCGTGGGCGAGACCCAGCCGGTGCTGTACCCCCTGAGCCTCCCCACCCCTGCTCTGTTCACCAGCCATCAGGCAGGAGCTAAGCGGGATCAGCACCACGTGAGGTGGCCGGCAGCACCACACAGAGACGCCGGGACGGCAAGGAGCCCCCGCAGGACCACGCCAGTCTCGGCTGTGACGACCGCCGGTCACCCCGAGGACGCGGGTCAGCTCCTGGACTGCCCGAGACGCCGTCTGACCCGGAGCACCAGGCCCACTCGTCTTTTTTGTACTTTATATTTGCTTATTTAAGTGTGCGTTTCTTTCGGTTTATAGACAAGACGCCCTCGAATCACTGCTTCATTAGACGGTTTCCAAGTTCTCTCCTAGGGGATGCTGGTAGCGTCTCCACACAGCAGAGCTGGCCCAGCACAGCTCTGTCCCCGGCCATCATGGTGTTGAAAGGTCTGTCCACGCACCAGTGTCTGTGTCCACACGGTAATAAACGGCTCACTGTCCACAGCCCTGGCCTCGCCCCTGCTCGCGGTCGCTCTCCCTGGAGGTGCCCCTTTTCAGGGAAGGGCCTGGGACCATGGTGACCAGGACAGGGCACAAGCTGGAGCCCTGGAGGGCGAGTCGAGGCAGCCCAGGCCCCTCCAGCTGCCTGTCTCACGTGCCCTGGGCCCCGAGCGCAGCTCCCTCCCTGCAGGGCCCGAAATTCCACCGGTCCTGACGGAGCAGGCGGGAGCTGCGGCTTAGGAAATGGAGGAGGGTCCCCTCCACCCTGCCTCAGCCTCCCCGCGGCCTGCAGGGAGGACCCCCGGGGCCTGTGGCAGCCAGGCCACGTCCCCACCCAGTGCTGGGACAGCCACCCCAGCCCCCTTCCCCAGCGTAGACAGGCCTTGGGCTCCTTGGCCATTCGCTGTCCCATGTCACCCCCCATGGCCACAGCGTGATGTGCGGAGCCTCAGGCACAGCCACCCTGAGGCTGGGGGGCCCGGGGGAGGGGCTGGGGGGGGCCGTTCCACCCTCTCCCCCTCCCCTAGCTGGTTACAGGAACAATTTCTGGCCTGGCTCTCTCAACAACCTGAAGGGCAAGAATGTGGCTGTCCGCTGGGCTGAGTGACCCAGCCCAGAGCTGGTGGCTGTTGGAACCCAGGGCCGACTCTCCCCTTCCCCCAGCTCAGAGCTCTCTGCTGCTGCTGCCCCTTCCCAGCCCCCGAATCCTGCAGGCCCAGCTTGGGGGCGGGAGCCAGAGGTGACACTTAGCGGGCTCAGGGGAGCTCTGGAGGGCTCAGTCAGGGCCCTGGGCCTGGCCTGCGGCCGGGGGGGACCTGGACGTGGCCCCTCGTGCTGACTGCAGATAACACCTGTGTGCGAGGAGACGCTCAGAGGTGCAGCAGGGCGGGGCTCTGGGGTTCCCCCAGCCCCTTGGGCAGGCCTCTGTGTGCACAGGGAGGGGCGCCCACACAAGCCCAAAGTCCTCCTGGTTGCAGAGCAAGCCCTGGGGCCCATGTCATCTCGGCAGTTACATCATCAGGGACGCCGGTGCCTGGCTCCACAGGCAGCCACTCCTGGGCCAGCAGAGGCGGCCCCAGCACCCCACCTGTGGGGAGCGGTCCTGGCCCAGCCTTGCACCTCCCCTCGTCCGCCCCTGCTCAGATCCCAGAGGCTGCCTGCTGGCCTCTGGCTGTAGGGCCCAGGCCAGCCAAGCTGCTGGCGAGAAGGCCACCTCTCCGTCTTGGCTGGGCCATCGGCACGCCCCCAGCTCACAGCCAGCGATCTGACCTCGGGTGCCCGGCCCTCTGAGCTGGTCAGGAGACAGACCCCCCCGCTGCTGGACCTGGTCCCTCAGCTTGGAAGCAGCTCCCACAGGGTGGGGGCAGAAGGTGGGGTGGGAGCTAAGCAGGCCCAGGTGAGGGCAGCAGGGGCAGGCAGGGTGGCCAGTGGCCTCTGCAGGTCTCAGCCAGAGCAGGGAGGAACCAGGAGTCCCCAGGCCGCCAAGAAGAGCGTGCAAGGGCCTTGGCTGCCCACTGTGGCAGGACCTGGGGGGTCACTGCCCAAGCCTCAACCACCCTCTCCCTAGGAGCCGGAGGGGATGGGTAGGACTTGGGGCTGACCAGGCCTGAGCCACACCCAGGCCTTGTCCTCTGCCGGCACCTGGGGCCGGCTTCTCTGGGAACCCGGGCGCAGGCCAAGTCCCCCGCCTCAGAAGCACAATCCGTGCACTGTGAAAACAAACACTGGATTTAATTTAGGGCACGGGACACCAGAGAAGTCAGCTCCATGGAGACCACGGGCACAGGGCCGGCAGGTCAGGGCGGGGGTCCAAGCCTTACCCGGTAAGGCCCGGAAAGGTGCCCAGCGAGTCCACGAGCAGATGGGCTTCTCTGGTCACTGGGTGCGGCCACCAATGGCTGCCCCCAGAGCTCCGTGGGGGCCAGATGCAGCCAAGCCTGCACTGGGCCTGAGGCGGTGGGGCGTGCGTGGCGCCGGTGGAGTCCAGGGCGCCCGCTCAGGACGGAGACCCGGAGGCAGGGTCCTCTGCCAGCTTGCATACTCGCTTCACCCTGGCGTAGGGCCCCAGGGAGTCCTCGAACACAAAGTCCCAGAGCACCTTCACCCACGAGTGGTGCTGCGGCAGGTGGTCGTAGTACTCGGGCGCGATCTTCCGCACCTGTGGAGGGGGCCGGGTCAGGGCACACGCGCATGCGCAGGGCAAGCGTGCTGACGCGCGCCCTCGCCCTCATCCCCGGGGCTGCCTGGAGGAGGGGTCCATGGTGGAGGCCAGTGGGGCTCCAGGTTCTGGCTCTGCCTCCCCAAGCCTCTGCCTTTCCAGCTGGGAAATGGGCATGACAGACACAGCACTGGCTTCCTGGGCTGTGGTGAGGGGGTGGGCGGGGGTGCTGTCGGGAAAGGAGGCCAGCAGCAGCCCCCAGAGGCTGCGCCCCGAGACGGGCTCCCGCAGGCAGGCATCACACACTCGTGCAGGCCCAGGTGCCGGCACACCGCTGCCTCTTGCCTCTTTCTAACCAGCCAGGCGCCATCAAAGGTGTCAGGAGCTGGGCTGGGTGACGACTGTGAGCCCCCCACCCCCCCCCCTTTCTCCTTCCAAATTCTGCATCCCCGGGTGTTGGGGTGGAGCGGCACCTGGCCCGGGCTCCTCGGCTCGCCTGTCTCCCTGGACCAGGAGGGGCTCCTGGAGGGTCCCAGGGCAGTGACGAGGAGTGGGGGCAGGCAGGAGGGAAGGCGCTGCTCCGTGGGCAGCCCGCTGTGCGGGGTGGGGCTGAGGTGCGGGGTGGGGCTGAGGCGCGGCGAGGGCAGGCGGCTGGCCCAGGCCGCACGGCCAGCGACGGGGCAGAGTCCCAGCAGGCTTTCTCTAAACCACATGACGCATGGTGTGCCTGCCCCGAATTTGTCTGCTGATTCCCCAGCTGGGCACTTACCTGTGGCTTTCGCACTGCCCCGGGGACAGTGAGAGTGGGCCACTCCCGACCAGCACAAAAGGGAGGGGCAGCCCGAGCCTGGCCTGACACCAGCCCCCCAACCTGCCCTGTCCCCGCGAAGCCCCGCCCAGCCCACGGCACCCACCAGGGGCAGGTAGCAGCCGGGGATGCTGGGGAAGTCGTGGTGCTCCACGTGGTAGCCCACGTTGAAGGTGATGTAGTTGAGGGGCCCGTAGTAGGAGTAGGTCTCGTGGCCCTTGAGGAACATGTAGTGCTCAGCGACAAAGTGGCCCGAGATGGGGTGCAGGCCCAGGCCCAGGAGGGTGCTGGCCAGCAGGTAGGCCATGGGCTTCACCCCCCAGAGGCTGAGGATGGCGGCGTCCACCGCCAGCTGCGCCAGGGCGTTGAACACCTCCATGCGCGTCATGGCCTTGGGGTGCACGCAGAGCGGCCGCAGCGAGTAGAACAAGGGCTGCAGCACCAGCCAGAGCAGCTTGCGGGCCGGCGTGCAGAAGAGCCGGCCCTCCAGGCGCGTGGGCACGTCCACATCCAGCCCGTCGCCGCCCAGGTAGCGGTGGTGGTCCACGTGGTACTTCTTGAAGGAGGCGGAGTAGGGCACGCCGATGGGCAGGTTGGCGAAGATGGCGAACCAGCGGTTGCGGGCGGCGGCTCCCGTGCCGAAGGCGGTGTTGTGCGAGATGTCGTGGATGGCCAGCGTCAGCGAGTGGTTCACGCAGCCGCCGAAGGTGTAGGCCCAGAAGAGCAGCCAGCGCCAGGCCAGCCCCCGCACCAGCCAGCAGGCCAGCAGCTGCGCCAGCACCAGCCCCAGCACGGCCCACTTGAGGTGCGGGTCCGGCCGCATCAGGGCCTTGATGGCCGGGTACTTGGCTGCAGAAAAGACAGGGACACGCGTGAGGCAGCTCACCGTGAGGGCACCCTCACCCACCCGCCTCTTCCTCTTGCCTCCTGTCTTACTTCCCCGGGGGAGCAGCCTGGACATGCGCTGTACCCTACGAAGCCTGGCTGTGCGCCATGAGGCCTGGCCCCAATCCCCAGCCCCCTGGGCGCGTGTTTGCCATCAGCCTGAGGAAAGGACACGCGGCCCCAGGTCCCAGACAGCTGCGGGCCGCCTGGCCCCACGCATGCCCAGGCTCACGGGTGCTGGGGGTGGCAGGGCTGGCCGGGGAGGCCGAGGTGGGGGACTCTGCACTGCTCCGGACCTTTCAGTTCTTAAAACAAACAAGACCTGAAAGAAATGGGCAAAAATGCCGAACGCGCTTGCTATGAACCTTTTGTTCTTCTGTGTATTTTGTTTTACAGAAAAGGAAAAAACAGCGTGAGTAGGAGGTGGCCCAGCCGAGGCCACCCCACCAAGGAGCAGCCAGCGCCGCAGGGAAGGGCAGGGTGGGCGCCCAGGCAGGGTGGAGGTGCAGCAGGGGTGGAATGGGCCTTCTGGAAACCCCCGGCTGCCCGGCAGGGGGGCTGGCAGTCCCAGGCAGAAGGCAAGTGCCACGTTGTGAACTCAGGGTGCTCCGTGCCCCTAAGGTCGGCCCTGAACCTTGGCACCCCGGGCAAGAGCACATGGGCCCTCAGGGCCAGCACTGGCATGCACAGAAGGGGAACTGAGGCAGAAGGGCAGGAACTTACCCCAGGGTGCCCACTGTCCCAGCAGCTGCAGCATGCACCCCACCCCTACTGCCCAGTGAGCGGCAGAGTGGCCTCGAGGAGGCTGGGGGCCGCAGCCTGAAGTGGACCTCACCCCAGCTCCCTCCCAGGGGCGCCGAGCCCCTCCCTGTCATGTGCACAGTGGGAAGGAGGTTCCCCGCCCCATGCTCACTGGCCTGGTCATGGCTCAGTTACAGAGAGGGCTCAGCCGGCTCCACCGACGCCGAGGACGCCAGGGCACCAGGACGCTGCCCACCGTGGCATCTGCAAGTCTCCTGGGACAGACAACACGGAGTGTCCAAAAGCAGCCCGCGGCAGTCAGGGAGCCGCCAGCTCAGAAGCCATCCACCGAGCGCTGAGCCCCAGCACCTGCCCCGGGGTGGGCGGGCCTAGAGCCCTGCCCAGCCTTGACCTTGCTGTGTGGCCAGTGCACCCCTGCCCCTCTGGGCCTCACAGTCCCTGGAGTACGGTGCGGGCGTGACGTGTCTCACAGGGTGTCTGCCCCCGGGAGGGTTCCAGTCCCACATCTGCTGGGAGAGGCGGGAGGGAAGCTGGCAGCAGCCCCCCAGGGCCCTGCTCTCTGCTCCCTGGAGCTCCCCCAAGCAGGGCCCCACGCACAGCTCCTTTGTGCCTCAGACAAAGTGGGCAGCGGCCCAAGGACCCCGTCCAGTGCCCCCAGGAACCACACCCCTATCTGGACCCCCTCAGGGAGGGCCCTTCCCAGCCCACAGCCCCCACTCCAGCTGCCGCAAGCCTGACCCTGGGCCGTGGAACCTGGGACTGGGCCTCAAACTCCACCGAATCTTCTGGGCACTTGGACCCCGGCGGCCGGTCAAGGGGCCTCGCGGGGGCCCAGCAGCCAGCAGGAAACCCTGGTGGGCAGGTGCAGGGTGAGGTTCAGATGCCGGCTCCAGATAAGGCTCTAACATCCAGAATGCGGAACGAACTCCTACACTCACGCCATGGAGGGCCAGCGACGCAGTCAACAGACAGGCAAAGGCGTAAAGAGACTTGCGGCCAGCAAGTACGCGGGACACACAGATCAGCCAGGCGAGACATCACGTGGCGTCACGCCAGCTTTGATGGCTAGAACTTAGAGAACTACAATCGCTGATGAGGATGCGGGAAGTCGGACTGGGGACACGGCCGGCGGGGACACAGAATGGCACAGCCAACGTGAACGTTGGACACAGGATGACCGTTCAGCCCAGCCCCTCGCCTCCCAGGAGAACTGAAGTGGGAGGCAGACCTCAGCACCCCGTGTCCACAGCAACCAGAAGGTGGAACTGCCCCCTGCATGAATGAACAAAGTGGGTGGGAGGGTCGGAGCTGGCGCAGCCACCAGCCGATGAGCCTCGGGGACATCAGGCTCCTTGGCACAGAGAGTGGCTGGTGCGTGACTCCCGCCTATAGGACGTCTGGAACGGGCAAATCCATGGACAGACGCAGGGCAGGGGATACCAGGCTGGGGGAGGGCAGGGAGTGAGCGTCTGTTTGGGGTTATGGGACAGTTTTAGAAACCGCACAACATGGTGACTGTCACAAATGCCACCAAATCACACACTTGGAGAAAATGGGGGCTGGCGCTGTGGGCTCAGCCGCCACCTGCAACACCAGCGTCAGAGCACCAGTTCCAGTCCCGGCTGCTCCACTTCTGATGCAGCTCCCTGTGGATGCACCTGGGAAGGCAGCATTGAAGGCTCAAGTACTTGGTCCCTGCCGTCCATGTGGGAGACCCAGATGGAGCCCCTGGCTCCTGGCTTAGGCCTGGCCCAGCCCTGGCTGTTGACACCATTTGGGGAGTGAACCAACCAGCCGGTGAAGATTCTCTTTCTCCCTCTCTTTGTCTCCCTCCCTCTCTCTGTAACTGCCTTCAAAATAAATAAAATACATCATGTAAAAACAAAAGCAGGGGCCGGTGCTGTGGCATAGCGGGTAATGCTGCCTCCTGCAGTGCTGGCATCCCATGTGGGTGCTGGTTTGAGACCCGGCTGCTCCACTTCCGATCCAGCTCTCTGCTGTGGCCTGGGAAAGCAGTGGAAGATGACCCAAGTGCTTGGGCCCCTGCACCCACGTGGGAGACCTGGAGGAAGCTCCTGCCTTCGGATCAGCACAGCTCCGGCTGTTGCGGCCAACTGGGGAGTGAACCAGCGGATGGAAGACCTCTCTCTCTCTCTGCCTCTCCTCTGTGTAACTCTTTCAAATAAATTTTTAAAAATCCTTTAAAAAATTTTTAAAAAGTCAAAGTGGCAAATTGTATGTTGCATATATTTCACTGCCAAAAACATGGGGATAAAAACACACTAATGAAACAAATCCAGTTTCCAGGGGGCCTCAGTCCTGGAGGCCACATCTCAGCCCACGGGGAGACGCAGGCACGGAGACGCGAGGTCGGCCAGGCCAGCAGGCGGCAGGTGGTCTCCCAGGCCATCAGAGTGCCGCGCCCCTGCGTGTTCTCGGGCACAGGAAGTGGTGGGAGTCACGGCGAAGGACCATCAGGGCAGTCGCATTCCTGAGTGGCCGCCAGGCGCTGGCCCGTGCTGGAGCTGGAGGAGGGGACCGGCCAGGCTCTAAGCTGCGCCCTGGACACCCCAGGCCTCCCAAGAGGCTGAGGGGCTGAGCCTGTTCTAGACTCAGGGTGGAGACCAGCGTGGGCTCCCAGAGATGGCGCCGTCCCTAGTCCTGTCACCTCTCCCCAGGCGAGGCCATGGGCACAGGAAAAACAAGACCCAAGGTCAGCGCGAGGGTCCCCAGGAGGGAGGCAGAGAGGAGGTCCAGACGTGGGACACACACCCTGGGATGCCGCGGCAGCAGAGGATGGGGGAGCAGGAACGCCTTCTCCCCCAGAACCTTGGGGGTGCCCAGCACTGCCGACCCGACCTTAGCCGGTGACGCCCAGGGCTGCAGGACCACTGTGTGCTGCTGGCAGCCAGCAAGCCGGTGACGCCCAGGGCTGCAGGACCACTGTGTGCTTTGTCACCGCAGCAAATGACAGGAAGCTCATGCAGCAGCTGTGGCAGGAAGGTGCAAGGGGCCACGGGGCTGCAACCTCCCCTCCCCGCACCCGGGTTCCTCCTGCACCCCGATGCCTGGGCCGGGGTGGTGCCTCCCCCCCATCCACAACACCCAGCACCATCTGCCAGGCTCAGTGCGCAGCTGCAGACACGAGATCGAAGGACATGGCCTGGCCTGGGTGTGACGTGTGGGCCACACACTCATCTCCCACCTAGGAGCAGCTGCCAGGCTGCATAGCCGGGCCTATCCCAGCTCCTCCCTCCCCGACAGGGGCCCAGGGCTGGGGTGGGGGTGGGGCACTGCAGAGAAGCCTCGCCATTCCAGGAAAGGCCGGTGCTTGGGTGCGGAGGGGTGGGGGTGGGGGGATAGGGGTGGGGGTGGGGGTGGGGGGATGGGGGATGGGGTCCTGGTGCAGAGGTCGAAGCAAGGGGCCCAGGGAAGGGGGAGGGTGTACCGGCCACCCACTCCTCAGGTGGGCCCTGGCCCCAGCACAGTGCCAGGAGAATCATGGGCCAAGTCCCTAATCCTTGTACACCTAGGGCCGTGGCCTCCCTCTCACCAGGGGTGGCCTCTTGGCACCCGGCCCCCCTCAGGCCCCCAGGGCAGTAGCCAGCCCTTTCCTACTGAGACCCCCCGTGGGAATCTACCCGCTCAGGGCCACTGACTGCCATGAGGCATGTGGCCCCTGTTTCCCCTTGGAAGGAGGCCAAGCCCTGGGGTAAGAGGGTGGGGCAGGCCACACCTGTGCCAGGTGAGCCACAGGAAGGAGAGGCTGGACCCAGGCCCTCTACACCTGCACCCCTCAGAGGGAAAATAAGTGACAACCAGGCAGCCATGACCCTGGGCAGGGCCGCAGTCTCTTCATTTGTCCCTCCTGTGGGGGAGGTGTGTAGGGGCACAGGAGGCAGCACCCGGAGGCCCTGCCACACCCTGCCTGGCCCACCTCCAGTGAGACAGGCCCCCCGCTCCTCTTCCCCACGTCTCCAGGGCCCTGGCCAAGCCCCTTCCTCATCTCAGGCCCACCCAGGACCGCCTGAGAGGGAGGAACATGCATCGGGGAAGGGCCCGGTGCCCAGCTGCGGCCGGTGCTGCTTCCTCCACAGGCCCATGGAGTCTGGGGGCCTACAGAGCCCCTGAAATCTTGGGGACAGCCACAGACCCTCTCAGGGGCCGCTGGGCTGCTTCCAGCCTGGCCCGAGAACAGGCTC